TAGAGGAAACCACAGGTACCCCAACAATAACTATAACGACAACAAGGTCCCGTTTATACTGCCCTTCATTTCAAATGAAGTAAGTGCATCTATAAAATGCTGTTTAAGAAAGGCCAGTCTAGAGAATTCGGTAACGATAATCGAAATACCACCGAGTAATCTAAGGCGCCAGCTAGTTCGTAACCGCCTATACGACTGTCTACGTGCAACGCAAAATTGCATAATTTGTTCCAATGATAGAGACGGTGACTGCATGAGTTCGGGTACAGTCTATCTGATCTCTTGTGAAGCGTGTGGGGACGAATACGTTGGCGAGACGGGTAGACCACTCTGCGTTCGTATAGAAGAACACCTAGTCGGTAAACGTAAGCTAAGTACTCCACTAGGTACGCATAGCACGCAGAAACATAACGGAGAAGATTTTGAAGTAAAGGTTACGATCCTCGCGCAAGAATCGAGAACACAAGCGCGCAAAACTCTAGAGGCATTCTGGATTAATTCCAAGAATCCGAAAATGAACCGCAGGGAGGAATGCCTCGTTATCACGCGTGATATTGGACAGTATATAAACCTGTTATTCTGATGGGAGGAGCACATTACGCTTCCATGTGAATTTGGTGCGTTCGGTCTTCACGCGACATACTCAGTGGAAGACTCATAGAAAGCGGTGAATGTGCAGAGCTATGCTAAATGTGATTGAAATCTTGGTTTAGCGTTTTCTCTGTTTGGTTATGGAGGTGTTTGGCCGAATGGATTGCTGTCAAGTTGACCCTTCTAGGCTCTAAGGAAGGCGAAATCCACCGAAACGTCAACTTGTGCGTAAATAAAGAAATAAAATAGCACCTCGTGCTTGCTGAACAGAAGTAGAAAGATATATTCAATCAATGCCGAGGTTAATAGAAAGTCGGACTTGGGAGTTACTATGGTTTGTGATTGCTCAATCAATCATAGCAGAATAGGCGATAAGGTGTTGATGAATCGTTAAACCATGCGCCTGTCATTCAATTCCATCAAACATCATAGAAAGCATGAATGCGCATTTTACCAGGAAAATAAGCTTTGAAGTTCCATCGTTTTATATTTTTGAAAAGTCTGGTATCAACAAGTTGAGCGGAGTGCCAGCTGAGCAGTCCGGAGCGCGGCATTAAACCTGTGTATTGCAGTGCAGCTCTAACCACTGCGCTACACTCTCTTTCCATCTGCAATACAGAAATCTTATTTAAAGAAAAACTATGAAAAATAAAAATTAGAGTGTTTGAGCTGTTGATGTTCTCGATAGAGTGGATAATTCAATCAAAGAATTCTAGGAAACTGGAAAAGTATAAGCACACAAGAAGTGCGGCGCTAATTTCTCAATTATCGTCGTTAATGTAATTTTGAAAAATGGAACTCGAAAGGTCAAATGAAATGGCAAAATTATTAAAAATTTTTAATCAAAATTTGTCATTATTTAAAGGCGTAAGTTTAGGAGAAGTGTCCCATTGTCAAAGAAAGTGTCTGATTGAAGGGAGACAGAAAGGCGTTTGTCCCGACAATGTTCTTAAAAGCTTCTCGCAAGGTACTACAAAAAAAAAACTATTAGGGTGAAGACACTATGTAAACGGTGCTGTCGGCACATAGCTATGGCTTCTTTGAGACTTCAAATAATCACAAAACCTAGGGTTTTTGGAGGTACCAAAGTTGTTATCAGGATAAGACCTAGCCGGTGACATAAGACTCTAGCCTTGCAGTTAAGAAAATTGATTCCTTGCCATTTTTTTGGGTAACTGGGTTCTACTCAACATTACTAGCGTGATTTACTCCGAAGGCAACCATAAGAATAAACAACATTCAAACGCTTTCAGATTTACAAGACAAATTAAATGACCACTACTCACTACCGCGGCCATTTTCTCGAGCAAGACCTCGGAAGGCGTGTCACTGGAGTGTAGTAGAAATTCGCACTGAAATCGAGGTGTACGATTCGTAACGCCCAGCAACGTACATATTAAAATCAGTGCGCATTTTAGTGAAAAGCATAACGAATTTGGTCAAGCTTTCTGATTGACGGATACCGCGATTTCCATTGTTGGTCTTTAACTGGGTTTTAAGAAAAATGAGAAAAACGCTTACAACCACAATGATTCTGAGATATTTGCAAAACTCGAGGTAGCGGGTTCGATCTCCACCGCAGACACCCGCAGCGCGGGGTTCTGTGAATATCTAAACTTCATTACAGTTCAGTTTCAAATAATAACCAACCGTGAAAAAATTGCAGTAAGCAGTAAATAAAAACACTTCCAGATTTGTGTTAGAACTGTTGTGCTTGCACGAGGTTGATGAATATGCTTTATTCAGCCAACATTTCGGCGTCATCGTCTTCATCGTCGAATCAAGTCAGATCTTCTTTAGTGGGTCACAGCTCAAATGAACCATTCTCATCCGGAAACAACAGTCGTCCTCTAGAAAAGGGGATCTTCGGGTGAGTCTGCCTCATTCGAACGATGCCCCACTGAAGAAGATCCGACTCGATGCGACGATAAAGACACCACATCGAGAGTACGAAAAAGTGTGGACATCAGCTCGGATCATCGACTCTGAGGAAGGCGAAGAGGTCGGAACGTTAGCCAGATAAATTTTATTTATCAACCTCGTCTAGGCTAAGAGTTTAGACACATTTTGATTAGTCATACAGAGGTTCTACAGATGGTCCCAGTTCGATTCAGTTCATGACCAATCAACCCTGTCATGAAGACAGATCAAATAAAAATAGAAAAGGATAAAAATTACAGAGGTTAAAGAAAACCGGAGTTTCGAAATACTTTCGACTTTGTTTTCTTCTAAATTGGAAAGAGACGGAAAAACCGACATGCCGAGCACATCGGAAATGAAAAATTATTGTTATTCAACATATCATTATCCTCTAGCCAACTGCTCATTGAACGGAATGAACAAGCCGTAAGAATTACACGACATTGCAAAAGATTACCTTTCGCTCTGTTACGAGAAAATCCCAGGTTCTTTGCCTTTTTTAAATCGCGAGCGTTTTGACTCGCAGTTTCAGTTTTCACACCTTTGTTAGCAACGAGTGGTTAACGAGGTTCTTGAAAAACTGGAGCAAAGTGGGCGATTTCGGTAAGCTTTTCACTTTTGCTTAGGCTGAGTTTGTATTCTAATGTTCGTTCACTGTTTACAGTAATCGGAGTTCTTCCCGATGTAGTAAAACGACGGTTTCGATTGATTTCGATCAATAATTTTCCGTCAAATAGATTTGAATACCTAAAACATGGTGCATGGAATGAACGAAACGACGGCGCGAAACTCTATTTAAAAACGAAACACATAGAAGTCGACAACAGAAACAGAAATTTTCTTTTGAAGCACAGTTTTAGTAGTTTTGAGCTATGGGATGGTTCGTAGTGCTGTAGTAATTAAAGGGTAAGAGGAAACTGAAGAAAAAGTTGTTGGAGAGTAATTGTAGCGATGCTGTGGAAAATGCAACAGGATCGCGACATGTACTGAGAATTGTTACTCCACTTAATAAGGTGGACAACTCGTACCTGGCTGCTACGACTGTCACTATTAAGGTTTCTTATAAGAAAATTAAACCCATGTTTATGGAATGATAGCGTTTTAAGAGCTGTAAAATGGGTGATGTAATTAGAAAGTAAGTTGCCCTTGAATGACCAAAGTTTTAAGGCCTTTTCATGCTTGAATCAAAGCGGCAAGAAGTATTCCATTTTCTCAGAAAGTTTTGGGAAACTCGTACCAAGTTGTTGACGAGTTTTCACCACAAGCACCCTAGTCGTGGAAATCAGACGAATGTTTCCCATCTAGCGCCATAACTTCTGCCTATACAACCGCAATTTTTGACAATGGTTTACTCTTAGTCAGGCTTCCAGGTAGAAATGACCGTTGCTTGTGACACTTTTTATTAAATAGACTCCGTTGTACTAAAAATGCTAGGAATATAACGAAAACCGACCCTCAATCCTGAAAGTCCTTGAAGAGGGTTATGTGGGGGCTAATGAGAAGAAACTATTCGAAAAGATGGAGAAGTTGGAGCATGTGGAAAACTTTTTTTAATTCAGTAACGCTTTTGCATTTACTGGAAAAGAAGAAACAGTTTAAACAAAGGAAAAATACGCAAAGGAAAATGCTGGAAACAGTAGAAAGGGAGTATGACAAGGATGCCTTTCAGTAGTTCAGAGCTCCATCATTAGAAGTCACTTCCCTTCTAACGACGTACTGAATGGCTAAATCGAATTTTTGGTTAAAAAATAGTACTAGTGCCATTCGAATATTTTCTTGCTGCTTCTAATCACTTAAATCTTAGAAGAATTGTACTTTACGTGATACAAGTTCTCATTCGTTGGTGCCCAACGAAGCACTGAGAATAATTACCTTACACTTTCACAATTACTACTAATTAGCTACAATGCCAGTTCAAGCTCACCGTCAAGAGGTTCGTGAAAGGGCCTCTTGCGTAGGGAAATGTTAAAAAATTATAGGCAAGGAATCTGAATACCCCCGGTTCCCACTGCAACCCCCAACTACGCCCCTTCTCAAAATGCAAGTTTTTATTCGGGTCATAAGAAACACCACAATTTGGTCTTCTGATTACCGGGTCACAGTCTAATGTTTCTGAAAATTTTATTTCCTTCACGTATCAAAATACGCGCTGCAGGGCTTGCCCAAGTCGCCTGAGCATGTAGTTACAGGTTCATCCAGATTGTAAAAAGATTTTCCACCTTATTAGTACATTGCTACCAGCACACGTACAACGTTTGCACATATTTATTAATGGAATGGTTTCGGGCTAAATATATTTGAGTGTTTTCGGCTTGGGGGACCCAAATCATACTGAACAACGCAATTCGACACCTAGGACATGATGAGATGTTTAAGTGGAATCTAATAAATCATTAGTTGTCACAAGAAAATACACAACGGGACTAGAATTGTGCATGAAATATGTAAACATTAGCTCATACAGTTAAGACCATTTGTGTTAAAGAGGGTTATAACCGTACAGATAAATATTTAGCGTATTTCTCTCTAAAATTGTGCACGACTGACACTCGTACAAAGTCTCCAAACTGACGTTTCAACGTTCCAATGACGGCGACCTGATCGTATCGTATACTGTAAAGAGGCATTATCAAATATTTACACAAATTGTGCATAACAACAATCATGTCTTGGGGGCCGACCACCCACTCTTAGAGCAGCTATTATCCTACATCAGCGTGTGTAGCGCAATGCCTTGTGGTACTATGCGATGCAACTAGTCTTTGGTTTGACATCGCGCTTTAGGCTAACCAAGCCCTGTTATACCTTCGAGATCGAAAATTGGTACCAGACTTATCTGGGAGGATAGAAAACAGAGTAAACGCATCGGAGGGTCTCGGCATTCGATCGCTTTTACGATGTTTACATGGCGCATCCATAAAAGATTGGTCATCGTCGAATGCTTCATTCTTTTCACATTTTTGTCCGTCACTTGACGACTTCTCATTTCGCTTTGTAAATGGCTTGGTGTGCTTCATATAAGGGAGATTTACAGATTATCAATGCCTTACCGAATACTCGGCCATATATAGTTAAGAATATAAAGGAGAATATTGGAAAAAGTAGCTAAAGTGACGCAACTTTGTGAAACATACTATTTAGACAATAAAAAAGGGTGCGTGTGGCCCAGTGGTCGGAGGCGCCCTGCAGCATACACGTGGAATCAGTCTCCGCGTCCATGGCTCACCTAGCCCTCCATCCCTCCGGGGTCGGCAAATTGGTACCAGACTCGTCTGGGAGGATAAGAACACTGGCTCGATACATCGGCAGGCCACCGCGAGCCATTGTAAAGGCCAGATATGCATTCAATCACCTCCAAACTATGCTTAATGAAGTCGAATTCGTGGCGCATCCCTCACGGATTGATCAACTCCGAGAGCTTTATCCTTTTAGACAATAAAACTCTTCGCGACTGTTCAACTTTCATGATGCGATTTGCAAACTTAGGCATAATTATATGAAAGACCATACTGTGAAAAAAGCAATCACCACATACTTCTGCACGCACTTCTGTCGACACAGGATTCCCTCATTCCAATAGAATCGTTTGCATTTATGCTGGCAAAGCTGATGACGCACCTGAAAACAATTGGTGCTGAATTTACAATGTTTATTTTCTATTGTTTCCCTTCTATAATTTTTATGGCAGGGTATTAAGCGAAATACAACCACAATATTGCTGAGCTGTTAAAAAAGAGTAGGCAGTAAATAAAAACAGTTAGGATTGTGATTATAACTACAGCCTCAGCTTAACTGGGTTCAATGCTCGACTTGGGCTCCCCAGATCAATCCCGTTGACGGGTGATTGCTGATGGCAAAAGATCGATAGAACTAGCTGAGAGACAGGCGAAACGAAGGACCCGCATGGTGTGGTGGTGAACGCGTTACTACCCTGAAAGGACAGTAGCGCGTTCGTTCCCCACCGCGGAGATCCGCGGTCCGGAGTTTTGCAAATATCTCAGCAATCTTAAGGCTCAAAAGTCTTTGAACAAGTTACCACGTACCACAGAAAGATTAAATTCTCCATAGATGGATGAGACGGCAAATATCGAGCGGCCGTCTAACTCGATAACGTGAAGAAGGTCAGCAGAATGTGCATAAACACCTGGAGATTGCGTTAGAACACCGTTCTCAATTCCTTACTAAAGGTTTGATACTCAACTGCTTACCTGATGATTTGTTAAACAGCTCCTCAGTGTGAACAAACGCCTCGCATTCACCCTCAGCGCACCACTTGGCCGAGTTCTCACGCAGATCAGAGGTTCGAATGTACTATAATATAGTATTTCACTGTTTTGGTTCATAATTTTTACAATTTTAGATGTGTGTTCACTAATAGACTGAACCATGGAAAAATACAATGGAGGAAGTCAGCGTTTCAAGCTTTATTGTGAGAATGAACAGAGTGTACCTTAACAAGATGTCTCACATAGGCGTTCTCTTCAGAGGAAACAGCCTTTCGCCTGCGAAATGAATACGTCGAAAAAAAAGGTTTTTGTAGACTATCAAGCGAGAATTTATTAAGAAAACAGCTTTCCATGGACGGCAATCACTACAACGTTTGTTTTAAATAAGCTATATAAATATATATAAATATATAAATATTTAATTTATTATTTAATATTTATTTATTAATAATTATAATTATTTATTAATATTTAATATTTATTTAAATATAAAAAGCAAAATAACATCCTCGATTGGTGCTGCGGATAACACGTGAGCTCCTGGAAAGGTTAACTGCGGGTTCGAAATCAAACTGATGTCCCGAGATTTGTTCACACCTCAACATTCTCCCTGTGGTTGTATTTCACATAACACGCTGTCATCAAGAAAGAATAGGCAATAAATAAAGGTTGAACATTGCAGTTAAACAGCTCTGTGCGCCAAAATAAACTATCACAGACCCTATAAAGTTTACGCGGGCCTCTTCGTTCTCGAACAAATGGCTGCCGTACAGGTCAAGTTTTCGCGTCCATGTTAAAAAGCAGATGGACTTTACCGAATAAACGCGTGTTCATTGAGAAGCCGCTAACGAACTAATGAGCACTCAAATCAATAATAAGGAGGTTATGGGGTGACACCCTGGAAAGAGGTTTTTAAGGCAGTAGGAAAGAACCTTAGTATACAACCAACGCAGTGGTCAAGGTAGAAATTCATCGTTTTATGAAGATATTGCATATTTCGGTGAAATGATTGCCGAATACTAGAAATTATTCGATTTCCACACGCATTCTGAGCAATTCCCAAAACGCGCTGGTGATAAGTCAGCCGCTAGCGAACTCGGCTGAGAAGGATAATTCATAAGAATTCAGTTCTTTAAATTGGTTTGATTTGTTTCGTCAACCACTATCTAATTATTGAAACCCATCGTGCCGACGAAATCCAACCGATTCCAAGATAACATGTAATGTAAGCAAAAACGCATATCCTTAATTTGTACCGCTTAAGCGTGTTTTTTACTCACTGGGCGTTTTCCACTAGAAAAAGAATTTCTTCCAAATGTGTACAGCACCAGGTCTTCGTTCGATGTTAAGGCGATGATATCCGAGGTTGGCTTACATTTTCGTTTTTGAGATGACGAAGAATTTTTGGGCACATTGTCGAATTTGCCAGAAAAAGTGCCATATTCTCTTCAAATCGAAGATTTCTGAAATCATTGGTTTATCGCTTAGTGAAAAAAGATCTTTTTAAGCCCGATTGGACATTTACTGATAGTTTTTGGTTATACGGATGCCTTTCTTTCGATGGAGGATGAGTCTAACCTTGCTCCTCCAACAAAAGCGATTCCCTATACTTCACGATTTCCAAAAAAAAAATCTCATTTGAAGGAGTCTGTTCGTCTTCAAGAACGTCTTCTAACAGTAATTTCTTGCTGCACAGATGGCGTAGCACAGAAACTATTTTGCGGATCGCGAGTTTACGGAGATCGAGTCAATCGAGCGCGTGTCAGTAAAGTCTTCAGTAGTCGCTGATAGTTGTAAAAGCGATCTAGTTGGCTCTACGTGCTCGAGGAACGAAAACAGCGTCATATTTTTGCATTTTTTTTAGCGATTTGGAGAACTACCATCGTATGTCGCTTGAGTGTGACGAAGAGATGTTCCTAACGGCAAAATGTGTGAGAGGACGCTCTTGAACTTCTGGACTGGGTCATCTATATAGAGAAGTCTAACATTCACACCACAAACTCCTTTTGATCTATGGACGAAGAAGACCTGCGATCTTTATGTCCTGAGTTTTTCGCAGGACTCTGAGGAGAAATTGACCAAACCGGTAATATGCCTGACAGATGAAAAAAAGTGCAGAAATCCACATGATTGCTCGCAAAGGAAAAAGTTTTAAGTATTCAAATATCGATTAAGTTCTTTTTCACGACGTTTAACAATGTTCACAGATAACCGGTTGGATTCTCATTTCGGAAGCTAGTTCTATTTACTTGCGACTTTTCGCACAATTCCTGAATAGACATGAAGTTTGTTTACTAGAGGGGACTACGAACCACCTTCCATAAACAAATCACTTCATTATTGGCTTCTACTAGAATGAATATCAGGTGCGCCTAAACACATATGCATGTAGACCTCTTCATAAAAATTATTCCTTTACTTGATACAGGAAGGACACAAAACTCTTATTCCGGACCCATCAGAGCTCACACGATTGCTTTTCGTTTCCTTATTTCGAAGCTTAGGAAGCACCTCATGACTGATCCAATCCAGATTCTTCACATTAGAAGCAACTGTCACTAGTGATGAGCACAAATTAGTGGAAAAAATTCGGAAGCTGAAATGAATTCCCAAGAAAAACAGAACGAAATGGGCTTCTCGAACAACGACAGACTTCTCTTTGCTATGGTTCAAACCTTGCCCGGCAGAGGAACAACGAAGCTCGTTGGAATCAAGGCATGTCAACTTACTTGTAAATGGTCTCTGGCATGTCCAGCGATGAATGCAAGTGATGAGAAGCCGGGATTCGCAGGTTCAGCCTCTTCCGGAAGATGTTTGGTATTTCAACATGCAAATTTGAAGTTGCTTTAAAAATGAATAAATGATTTTGTTTCGAACTCGTCTCACCTGTTTAAATAGATAAAAGGGGAATTCGTGCCCCATGAAGAACATAAAGATGTCTTCTGTCGCCTCAATAGGTTCCTTAGAAGTGAGTATACATGTGCAGTTCACCTTAAAACTTCTATTTCATTAAGTATTTTTTCATCTCAGATTCACTTGGCATTGAGAACCATTTTTCAACAGAAGCAAACCTCAAAATCCTCTATCGGTAAACAAGCGTCGCGATCAAACATACACGGATTCAGTGACATCACCGATCGGCAACAGATCGATAAGATTGCCAATAGGCGAAGGCCCAATAGTGGGGACGCCATGTTATGATTACAGTGATAATCAACGGCCCACATAGTTTACATACGTGAGACAAGAACGAAAATCGGATACGTAAACGGCTCTGAGGACCATTTTATTCAATGATTACAAAATTTATAGGGTTCTGCACACCAATTTGCACTACGTGAAAGATCTGGACCTGATTACTTGCTGCTAATGAATTTTCTTGTGTGAATACACACATCGATTTAAGGTTTGTAACGAAGTAACTTAAGAGCATAGGGGACTGGTTTTTATTTACAATCTATTACAATTTTTCACGGCAGGTTATTATGTGTGACTCAACCACAATAATGCTGAGATATTTGCAAAACTCCGGACCGCATGTGTTTGCGGTGAGAGGGAAACGAACCCGCTATTACCTTTTCCTAGATCAATCCCGTTGATGGGTGATTGCTGATGGCCTGATCGATAAAACTAGCTGAGAGACATGCGAAACTAAGGACCCGCATGGTGTGGTGGTGAACGCGTTAGCCTCTGGAAAAGATAATAGCGCGTTCGTTCCCACCGCAAGCACCTGCGGTCCGGAGTTTTGCAATTATCTCAGCATTAATTTGATAGAGTGCTCTCATTTCTTTTTCCAGATGCAGGCCGCGGTTCCACTTATGTTTTTAAGTGACCCAATTATGGTGCTTTACACCTCGAATAGTCAGCCGATTGGAAAGTGTTATACATGGGAGGTGCTTTCTCCAACGTTCGGATGAGTAGAAATATATGGGAGGCCTCTTCTCCAACACTCGTGTGACGACGAAGAACAACGCAGAGGTCATGCCCATGAAGTAAGCCCTAGGTGTATTCTAACGACTCTCAACTGGCTACACGTGATTATACACCACCCTTGCAGTAGACCACGCCAAGACGAGGTCCCATGCCTAAGGCATTAAAGGCATTAAGCGTTCTCCAGTTTCTTTTGTTTTCATAACCCATCACATCTGCTGTACAGATCCCAGCGTTCGATTCGTCTTTCTCACATTCATTCTCCACAACGTTTCAAACGTTTCGCGAGTTGTTTCGCTTACTGCTTGAGTACTTTCAATTCTCTGTGAATGCCGAAGAGTGCTAGTCTAGTTGACTCTCCCTGTAATCTTAGAGACAGTCGAGATGAGGTCTTCACCACGTGAATTGGAGCACAGCGTTGAAGAGGGGCTCTGACTAGCACCATGCTTTCTAATGAACTGCATCACTAACCACCGCACTTCCTTGTCTTCGACATACCTTAGCGTGGGTACGTGAACGACGAATATTGTCAATGTCGGTATTGATCCACGTCTATTCCGATAGCGTTGTACCAGCTTGCATCGTTAGATCCTCAATAGAGAATTCAGACGTTGAACACACATTATAGGTGCAGATCGTCAGCTCAGTCCTTGTAGATTAATAGAGTCTAAGATGGCCCTGAAATTTCAACAGCTTCTCTCTACTCGTTCTCTCCAACTACGCCGAATCGGGCAGCTCCTTCGGATTCAGTGAATGAGGGACTGTGTTTCGCTTTTGATGCCCATGGTAACACTGCCGTGCTCTCAGCTTTAGTTGGATACGTCCATGGGTTACTTATTAGTCTGTCCCAGAGCACAACTGGTTTTTGTACGAGGACTATTCATTGTTCAGTGATATAATCCATACAAGCCTCTGCGTAAACGCATTACTAACAATAAATCAAATAGTTGCTTTGTATGAGCAAAATTAAGCTCGCTAGAGTTCAGATATAACTATAATACAGCGTTCATTGGTCTCCATTGCAACAATGGTCGACCTTTGTGGACTAGGGTGAGCTTTCTCTAAACAAGTCTGACACCAGTTTGCTGACTCAAGAGGGATAGGTGCTTAATTGGATTTGAGCAGAGTCAAGCCAGTGACGATGCGTGCATTACACTTCTAACCACTACGCTTCTAACGCTCCTTTTGTAATAATGTAAATAGTGACAAGTTGTTAAGAATAAGAAATGGTGAAGATATTGAAGATGATTGGTAAACAATGTGATTTATTTTTTCGTTTTGCTCTTAAGTGATTCATTTTCATATCTACTGTATAGAACCCAGGACATCCTCGATTCCATTCGTTCCCTGTCATTTTTCACACGTGACTCATAGAACTCGATGCTCTCTCAGTTCGGTAACAAGGGCAAGAAATCACGGTAGATTCATCTATTTCTGCGTATTTCTCAACAGAGACGCTTACCGCACCTATGATTTCCTCCTGATTCCTAGTCCTCTGGATCTCTAAATATCAGACCGGGTCTCTGCTATATAGGAAAGTTGACTGTACGATAAGCTCAAAAAAGCGAATGCAGGGATTCGGAATTCTAGGCAAATTAATACTGAAGTCCGAATCAAACCTAAGCAGCTCTCGCTCCCTTTTTGAAATTCCTCCATGTTTTTCTCCTTTGGATTTAATGAAAACGAATGACCGTGATGTGGCCGATTTAAAAGAAAACTACCGCCTAAGTCTGTTCTTCAGAGACTGCTTTTTCTTTACTTTCGCTTGAATCAAAGTAAACACGCACACCTTTGGATGGAAGCATCTCCAGTGTGACATCACCAAATCTAAGGAATTCAAATAAATGATATACTCAGTGGCATTGTTTTCAGACAGCATTCGTTCAGTGGCCGCCCTCTCTCAGATGTGAGCACTTTAGTGACCTTACCATCTACAGATCTCATGGTTACTTTATTTTAGATCGGTAACCCCATGGTCACAAAGACGTCACGCTTTCCCGAAGCCGGCGAAGCCCGACGTAATGTTGAGTGTGGTCATTGGTATTCGGGAAAAAAAATACCTTTGAACTTGCTGCGGAATGTAGACTGAGATTTCAACATGAACAAGGCGACGACTAACATCGCGGTGCTGTGGAATAGAGGACTTCAAAACACGTCGGTTAAGCAGTGGCTTATTCTTCTAGATAACCAGGAAAAAATCACTCTAATGGAGAGTGCTTCAATTTACTAGCACTTATTTTCGAGCTGTTTATTTGAGTGATTTGTTCTAAACTATAATACATGTTAGGAATAAGCACTCATTACAAAATAAAGGGTTATGCGGAAAGTCCTAGTGCATCGCATGAGGAACGAATCGAGGGCTTCATTTCGTGCATATGTGAAAAAATGAAATGCCATCGAATTGACTCCTTATTACATCAGACGCTCTCAGCAGCTCCTCCTCATCCCCCGTTCTTAGGCGGATTTACCTATTAATCGAAATACGGTATCGATCAAACGCTCGCTTTTTCATGTTCGTGCCACACTTTCGTCATTTTCTGAATCTGTTCGGAAAATCACTTAAAGGGAAAAGAACGTTTGACCTTTATGCAGTCTCCTTCGATAATTGATAACTGAATTAGACGCCTATTATGCCAAACGTTATCAACAGTTTGCGGTCGCATCGCGTATTTTGGCTGGTTGACGTTTTTTACCGAAATACGGTATCGATCAACCGCGCCCTTTTTCACGTTCGTGTCAGCGTTTTGTCCGTTTGCGAGTTCGTTCAGAAAATCAACGAAAGGAAAAAAAACCTTATGATTATTAATTATAACGATCTAAAGCGTTACTCGAAGGACGCGTGTCGTGGAGTAATCAGAGGCTCCATGGAATACACATGGGATCGATCCCTGCGCCCTAGGTTCACCAAGCCCTCCATCCCTCTAGAGTCGGAAAATTAGTACCATACTTGTTTGGGAGAATAGCAGCGCTTGCTGGATATATCGGTCGGCCACTGCGAGTCACTGCAAAGGCCAGGTGTACGTCCCATCACCTCAAACGATGCTTAATGAAGTCGAATGCATGACGCATCCTTCAGGGTTTGATCAACGTCGACAGCTTTATGCCTTATTCTTTTAAAGCGCTACTTGCTCAACCACTATCATGATGCCCTACAATGCGAAGTTTAAATGCAAGTTGCTTTCTTGAAGCTAAAGGAGACTTCTCGTAACTCAACATCGCCCAATAAAAAGTAATTTCCTTCTCAACATTCGAGTACTTTTGACAGTTCTTCAAGAATATAAGAATGACTTCTTCCTAAACTTTTAGCATATACAGCCGTTTTTCAGAAAACCACTTAAATCAGATATGACGCCGCGATATCATTCAGTTAAAAAATGATTTGACGGTGACGTGTCAGGGAATGTTCATTGTTCCCGTTGCGACCCGGTCTAACCAGTTCTACTAAATTCGTGTTGCTAGTCAGTTCAATACATCGGAGGTACGAATGTGTCACATTTATAAAATCCGATAAGTGGAGTCTTATGCATCAATTCTTCTTCTTTAGTTCCAGTCAAGTTAGGTACTTAAAAGGTTATAAATTAACTCTAAAGAACAAGTCATTCTGATTACGCAACTTTACACTATCTTCCTTCCACATCCTCACTACCGTATCTCAGCTATGATTTTGGTGAAGTTCCCACTTTTATGGAACACGGAAGCGTCTTCACGCTACTCATTGATTAGCGCTCATCGATATCTTTTCTTTATTTCAAAAAAAATCAACGAATCTAACTACCGTATTAAAGATTGTGGATACCAACCAACTTTCTTAATTGCTTATGCCCTAGGGAAAGATCTTCGGAGCATCATTGTGTTCTTCCAAATCCATGACTAGAACCTTAAGCATTTCCCATTAGAAGTTTATTAATTTTTCATAAGATCTAACAATTAAGAGTCCCACTGAGACCTATTTAGTTTGCTATCATGAAATTCATTACGAGCACATAAAAATAAGGATGAAGCTCTCGGCGTTGATCAATCCGTAAGAGATGCGTCAAGCATTCGACTTCATTAAGCATAGTTGGAGGTGGTCGAATGTGCATATCTGGCCTTTGCTATGACTCGCGATGTCCTACCGATGTGTCGAGCTAGTGCGCTATCCTTCCAGACAGCTCTGGTACAATTTGCCGACCCCGGAGGGATGAAAGGCTTGGTGAGCCTGGGGCGCTGCCATGATCGATCCCATGTGTATTGCACGGCGCCTCCCACCACTGCACTATACGCGCCATTCGAGCATATTAAGAAGATTAATATTAAGAGATACAGTGTTGTATATACAAAACATTAGGTTGATGCGTGTGGTTACAACATGAGAACGCCCTTAAAAGACCATTATGAAAGTTCGAGTACCGACAAAAACCTCCACAGGGAGTAAATACCTGTTAAGAGAAAACTACGCCGAGTCCTCTAGGTAAACAGAGGCTTTTGAAGTGGCCAATAAAGTGTGGTGCATCCTCAAGGGATAAGTAAGGGAGCCCGACACCACGCATTGTGGGGAACTCAGAAATTTTTGTTTGATTCGCTTCCTTGCATGCATCGTCCACAGATGCCTTCGAATTTTTGTATTGGTTCGGATGATCCTTTGGTTTTGGTTTCCTTTATGAATGTTTTTGTATGGTCGTCGATTAGATTTTCCCTTGAATTTTGATATCCATACTAGAGTGTTATCATGTCATCACCATTAGTCCTCAACCCTTGCTGATCGGAGGAAGCCTGCTACAACCCAGATGAATGGGGAGTTTGGACGGCTCGAAGCAAGCTTTTAAGCAGAGGCCAGTAGTAAATTAATGAGCTGGAAGCGACAGTGTATAACAGTTTCAGCAAACGTAGATGAACTTAAGGAATGAACTAGTGCCATTCGGGATCGAATTGACTTGTATTATCCTGTCCATGCATAATTCAAATTTCTTAATACATACCTTCACACCAATTCGGTCGACTATTAAGTAATTTGGAAGTTTATCATCTGGAGTTGGAGTTTATACCCAACAAATAACTTTCAGTGGTGATCCAATCAAATTCAACAAATTCAACATGGGAATATCCGTCTCGCATGGTAGTGCCCTAGCGAGCTCCGTGGGTACACTTTTGTTAAAAACTAAGGAACTAGGAACTCGAGTTTGATGTTTTCAATGACCTTAGAGTAAGCCGAACACACTGAGTAGCTATGACGTGTGACAGATACAAGCAGAAAATCTACTCAAACAACAAAAGTTCGCATGGTATAAGTGATTTCTGAGATGGAACGACGACGTTTAGTGAGAAGGCCTCCTCTTTTTTTCCGTTTCTAAAAGTCAAACGAACGAAACTGGATGATTTCCATGATCATCCATGAAAACCCGGCCAACCTCATGACGAAAGCCTCGGTTATTACTTTTCCAGCACTAGACATTTCTTTCATACGTAATACAGCGCGGAGACAGTAGCGCAGCGGTTACATTTGGCTTGCAATGCATACGTGGTCTTTGGCTTGATCCACGACCGAATTAGACAAACTTTGGACGGCAAATTGGAATCAGACTAGTCTCAGGGGATAACACTACTGAACTGATACATTGGTAGGCCAATTCAATCCACTATTGAAGCTAGATATGCTTTTTATCACCTCTAATGGTGCTTGATGAAGTCGAATACATGGACCGTCTCTTAGGAATTCATCGACGCTGAGAGCTTTATCCTTTATCCCTTAAAGAGAGGATAGCATAGTTCTCTCCAACTGGTCAGGTAAGCTTTTTATTTCTGACAAAGCAGATGGAACAGACTTTGACTAGACTCGTGTCCAGGAACAAAATCGGTCTTTACTCACTGCCGCATAACTTGTTATTTATGATTGATGCCAGTCGTACTTATTGTGGATCATTCTTTCTCACAAAGAGAATCCACTATCTTCTCAAGACATTCTTCATTATCTTGAGTTAAACCAAACCAATAAGTTGTCCAGAACATTCAAGAAGGTCAGAGTTTTGACTGGTTCCAAGCTATCCATTTGTCAGCCAACGATTGTATAGCAATCAAAAACCTGAAATTAACACTTTATGCTAAAAAGCATGCTATTCTACCTTGTGTAAGAGCACTTCAACCAAAAATGGAACTACAATGATGCCAAAAAGTAGTGTAACAAGTAACACACGTTTCGGCGAACCCTTCAATTAAGGTATCTCATTTGTTATTCAGGATATCTACAATTTCATATGGTCCTTAGAAAAACATTACCTAAATCTACGAGGAAAATTCCTGCTTATCAGTTCGTCGAGCTTGTTGGTTATTTTATATTAGTAGCTAGAAACTTGGAGGGAGTAACTTGGTCGGGAAGTGTTCCCGAGTGTTGAGCTGTAATGTACTGCATGAGGATTCAACCCCACAGCAGGGCCTCCCAAGCTGACAAGGGGTCCGGCGTTTCCGTTAGGAAGCCCAGCTAGGAGTTAACCATACTACGATCCACCACCGTCCTTGTGTCAAACTAGTCGCATGGTGGCAAATCACCCTCTGATCCACAAGGGTGACGACTGCCTGTGGTTGTGACGACCTGGAGCAGACCTTGGTTAGGCTGACCTCACGACTCCAGGGAACCACAATGGCTAAGCCAGAAAACCTCCGGAAAATGGAAATTATGCTGGGGCCCGCACAACAGTCGAGCCATCTGATTATCTAAGTAGGCTAGTACCAGGAACACTTACTAAAAGCATGAAGGAAGCTTAAAGCACAGACAGCCATGCCATACACAGGTCCTGAGTTTGCGCCAGGTGGCAGATTGACGCATATAATGATGCGCACGGCTGGTGTCCCTCAACCGGAAGTTGGTTCAGCAATTTCTTCACATTGGCTGTCGGCTGGTGTTGTTCTGTTTCTGTTTCATGTATAGTGGAAGGTATCATTTTAACTTGTTTATTACTCTTAGAACTTCCCAATTTAAGAAAATGTGCCACTTCTTGATTTGTAGGGCGGTTCTGTCATTGCAGTGCTATTGTAAAGTGCTCATTTAGTACTGCTTTTATTAAGTACTGCTGATTTTAATAGAGTACGTCCAAGGTAGCTACATAAAAGAATGAGATTCTCACTATGTGAAGAGCAGTGCAGAGTATTTCGCTCTAAAAATTCGTGATATGAGGACCCAGGCACTGGTGTTGTCCTGCTAAGGCGTTGTACTGGAGTAGTACTGGTGCATTTCCTTTTACTTCTAGTTACTTTTACTTTGTTTTGCTTACATTATTTTACTTTGACAAGCTAAGCTTATCAAACACGTCTGGTCAGCAATACCAGAGTGCTTTCTCCTAAAATTGGAGTAAATAACTATCCTTGAAAGAGACATGGATTTTCTTCCTCTGAGAATGTTCTCCATAATGATGTTTGGTATAGTTGATATGTATTGTTTTCAGTTTTAATTCTTCAGTTAGCAATTGGTAACCCATGAAATAGATCAGCTCACCCACCAGAGAATTTATGAGTTTCAAAGATTTTTCAGATGCCAAAAGAGTTCGAGTTTCAGTTTGACGTAGACGAAGATGAGGAGACTTGGCTAACTCCTCAACTATCGGAAAGATCGGTAATACTGTCTACAGTTGCTTACTTCTCTTAAAATCTTCCCGCTTTTTGGGGAAAATGGTGTTTTTTCAGCAATGTATACTTGCTTCTTTAGCTTGGAACTCAGTCGAAACCGGTTGATTTAAAGGAATGGTTTGGACAAATCCAGACTTCCGAGCGTGCCTCTTTACTCAGCAAAAAACTACAGAAGTATGCTGAGAAACGAGGTTTATAGCTTTTCTCATTAGTATTCTCATTAGTATAGCTACTAATAGAGGTTCTACACCCTTGATGTTAGGATTTGATGCTCTTAGTCCTTACAGCTTTACGTTTACCAAAGAAAGGTGCAGTAATGATTAACTCTATAGGCAGTTCTCAAGCATTAATGTCTTAGGGCTGTAGATTTTTGAAATTTCGCTTTAGTGCTACTAATGTCTTTTTTTCTGCAAGCTGTGATTTTTTGGTTAATATCCCTGGTTAACATCCGGATTTTCGGAAGAGTTTCAAGTTGCTTTGACGTTATCCTGAGAGGAAAACTTACCGTTTGGTATATATATATATATATATGTATATGTATATATATACATATATATATATATATATGGATCAACCACAAGGATGACGAGATATGGGCAGAACTCAGAACTTCACGCGGGGTTGAAACCCATGGTTACCCTCACTAAGGGCTCACGTTTTATCCGCTATACTAACTGACGCCCCTGCTTTACCTTTCTTTCAACTATTTTTTTCTATTTAAATGGTCCTATCAGAAATCACCTGTCAACTGGAATGATCTGGGGGCCACAAACTAAGCATTGAACCCAGTTAATTTGAAGCTGCTGTCGAAATCATAAGAGTTTGCTTACTGTAATAAATGGGTCGTTTCTTCATGCATGTAATTTCTTTTTTTTTAATTCTTGCATGGTTCTTTTTCATATATATTTTAAAATCGTTCTTAGACGATCCTTCATTATAAGTGTCCTAACTGGTGTAATGTTTTCATTCGTGGAAAAAACATCAAGTTAATTTTCTTGGGCCTGTATTCCAGGTTTGGACCAGGATTCTCGTGCGTGGTGTTAAATAAACACGGCAAAAACTATCTTTTTTCAAAATGTTTGCATAAATATATTTATCAATGTTGTGCATACAGGTATATATATACATATATATATATATATATATATATATATATATACATTTGCTTACGTACGTATATATGTATGTAAATATATGTACGTATATATACGTATATATACGTATACATATATATTTACATGTACGTGGGTGCTGGTTCAATCCCGTTTCGGGCTCACCAAGCTCTCATCCTTCCGGGATCGGGAAATTGGTACTGGACTTGTACGATAAAAAATCATTCTGTTATCCAATTGGGAACGCTCCAGCTCGGTTATCTCAGAACTCGAGGGAGAACTGACTCTAACAGCATTCCACGACATTCAGGATGAAATGGAAATCCTCAAGCAGCATCCGAAGCCAAAGGTAAAAGTTGGAAACCCTTAGTGGCAGATGGATGCAACGAAACGAATCGATATGAAAAAATATGTGTGCATGTGTATATACGTATATATATATATGTGCACATATATATTGTATGTGTTTATATATGTACATGTGTTTATGCATATATATATATATACATATATATATATATGGGTGTGTATTTGTGGATGTAAACTTCAGGGATACGCTTTCTAATGTAACCGCAGATAACATATTTGCTATTTAACAGTTGGATTTTGTGTTGAATGTAAACTTTCACACACACATTTTGCCATTATCTTCATAATATCCGTTGAATTTGCATGATTTTTGGCTGTTACACCAATGTTTTATCCTGGATTTGGCTTTTCATGAAGCATGTGACAGTTCTGCTTTTGATTTCAGCGGCCAGATCCGACAGACTTCGAAAAGGCGTCCCGTCCTCATTAGATGTCGTTGCCGAAGGAGATGGAAGCCCTGAGAGAACTCATCTGTATGACCATCAAAAACCGCTAGACGATGGTGGGATTTCGGCCAATTGTTTGGAGAACGTTTTGACAAAGAAAGAAGTAGCAATGTGCCAGAATGAAACAGATGAATCCGGCGTCGCCGGTAGCATTAAAGGGTTTACATCTCCAGAAGTTTTAACCTCAAATGTTCCCCATTTTACCTCGGATGCAGTCGCTACTTCAACTTCATTTGCTGATTCTGTGTCACGCAATGGCTTACCAAACCTGTCTCCATTTCCTGATCGGTTAGCGACAACGGAAAACCAGATTGCTTCTGATTCTGACGAAGAGTTCTTTGACGCAAGTTCCGAGTTTTGCGAAGAAGTGAAGAATCTGATGTTGACGTCGTCGATGCATGAAGATCAACACAACGGCAACCGCATGCTGCCGGATGATAATTCGGGTCAGTATTGTTTGGTGGTTGTTGCTTATTGGGTCGGGTGGTTTGGGCATGAATCAGATTGAAGAAAATGGTCTCTACTTCGAGCACAGAAGTATTTTATAGATCGGTCGTTTCCTTCATATCTGATTTAATAGGGTTTCTGTTCTTTTGAAGAAATAATCTGTCTCGTGTGGAATTCCGATTACTTGTGGTTTCAAAAAACTCTGTCTACATGTCCTTGCCATAATGTATCATAGATTTTGACGAGCAGAGTCCAGTGATATTAAGTGTTAAAATGCACAATTCTGTAGTTCCCGGAAACCCTATCATAAGTAGATTTCCAAAGTTCTTTAAAATCTATCGAATCTGTTTGCGAATTATCTTCTCATTAATTAGTCGAATTGAGTTGTTTGTATAGTGAAATCAAGCATATCCTTATAACTCAAAAAAATGACTTTCTATAAACCTCGGCATAAATGGTCGATATATTTATTTATGTGTTCTTATGAACTGATTTGTTGAGTCGATGCAAGATTGGTATAAGTTGTTGTTGTTGTTGTAATTTATGTGAGTCCCACCCATAACAGCACAGCTCTGAGGAAGGCGAAATCGCCGAAACATCACCCATCGACCAACAACAACAACAACAACGACAACTAACACCAACTTCGCTTCAGCTCAAGAAGGTCAGGTTACAAGGACACATAAATATATCAATTGTTTATGTTGAGGTTTATATAAAGTCGGTTTTTTGTGTTATTAAGAGAAGTGCTAGCAGAACATTTCCGACTTGTAAGGGACATAAAGTTATCGTTTTCCTCTGCACGCAGACGATGGTGTTTTGCAAGCGGTGGTTAAAAAAGCGATTCTGGAATGTTCAAGAATGTTTCTTTTCAGTTGATATACTTAAGATGTTGTATTCATGTCAGTAAAATATTGAAAGCAGTCCGGGATGTACGTGAAACACAGCTTTCCTACCGGTACTGGTAAATCTCGAATATATTCTGTTTTGGTATAGACTACTTCTTAGCACGTATAGTAATCAGTCGAGAGCTCTAAATGAGAAGTAGGTCTAAAACTTATTCTGTTAGAGAAGACGTATTGGAACTCCCGGTTTCTTATTTTATCATTGAAAGTTAACTCCCGATGGAAAACATATCACCAATCTGTTTTTTCCGAATCGAAGCAGCGTTTTTTCGAAAACAATTTTTGTTTGACTATGGCCAACATTCCAATGGATTTCGTAGTTCATTGAGCCTGAGGGTGTCGTATACATTTTCAGTTTGGATTTTAAAATAACAAAATTGTTACATAAATGAAACAACGTATTTGCTAGTTATGGACTTGGCGGATAAAGTGCAAACATCGCGCATCACTCGTATAGGCCGTGAATGAGCACCAGTAGGAGAACAAAATGGCTTATGTAATTGTGAAGTGACAGTATTAGAGGTCATCCACAATGCTTTGACATTCTTTCGAAGGTGTACTTCTGTATAGCCAGGGGATTTTTTCTATGGACACAGAAGTGTTTTACATTTTCACCAATGTGGTTGTTCCGTCTTGGGTGGTAGAACGGCTTACTAGCTAATGGAAATCTACCTAAATTGCAGTATGTTAATTGGTGTTAATGTGTTAAGTGTTAATTGCAGTATTAGGGAGATTCTTCTTGGTCGAGTTTTTTATACATAGAAATCACCCTGTCAGGCTCTGAAAAAGGTAAACGGGCTAGGGCTACCCTTCGAAAAATTTACGGACGTGGGTTAAGCATTCCTTAATAACATTGTGTTGAAACGTCAAAATTATGGGAATGTGGTTGGATGTCCATATTAAGAAAAAGATGGTTTCTAGACTGTACGTTTCTTCACAGGAATTTCGGTGGTACGTAACTATATGTCTCAATCGCTAACGAAGGTTGAGGAGGAAGCGCCTGTCTCACAGCAGGCAGTTCAGATTAAAGAAGGGAAACCGTTAAGGTAAATTTTATTCTATTATTTTCTTTTGCTTCTCACTCTTTCTTGTTATATATAGATGCATTTTGTGTACAATATCCTTTCTATTTTCTCTCTTTGTGTATGTTAATTGTTCCTTCATTGCACATCCTATTTTCATCCATAAGTTCATGGATTAGTAGTGCGTTAAGAAAACCACTTCACTGCATTCTACGTGGTTGCCAGAAGGAACGACGTTTTCACTGTATTAGGATGTTTTACGCACAAGGTGAAATGATAGTGAAGTTTGTAATCGGGTTTCCAATATCGCTTTGACGGCCCTAAATTTTCCTTCGACGGTTAGTCCTTTAAAGAAAACACCTTTTTATGCAGAGCAGTTGTTGAGTGAGATTTGTAGGTTAGACGGATTGGGGTTCAAAAGGTTTGAAATACTGCTTCATCATAACATTAGGGAAATGATGATCTTAGCACGATGGCGAAAGCAAATGTAGTAGGGTGATATGTGTTCTCGTTAAGATAGATATACAGCTTTGTGATCTGATTTGGTTTGGCATAAATCCGAAATTTCCGTTATGGTCCTTGGCTGTTAACGTTTTAGTATTCAGGGCCGTGAGAGGTGATACCGGAGAAATTGCTTTTTTACGGATCAATGTTTTCGTTGCTATTTTTGTTACTTTCTTTGTTCTTTCATCTCTTTCTTTTTACGTACTTAAGCCAAGAAATCTACCTCTATGATGTAGGACATTGACGCTTCCAAACTAAATTGTTTGGTTTGAAATATGCGCAGTAGGGTACTTTATCTCAAGTCATCTTATTTTCAGGTCAAGTTCTCTTAGTCCGCGCCCAATATCAACGACAGTTTCAAGTCCGAAACCAAGCCAGATAAATTCACTTTCGTCGAGTAGTGAAAGAGACAGTATCGAGCAGGTTTGTGTCAGTATGTTTACTATGGAATATCCTTTCGCAATGCAATGTGTGCGTATGGAATAATGGTTCAGTCATTCGTTTGGATGCATAAGTGATATAAAGAATTGTCAAGAAGGGCTTCTCCGTTAAGGTACTTAGTGTTTTGTAATTAGTAACATTAGAACTATTTTACTTCTAATGGTGGTTGCCTTTCCCGAATTTATGTCTTGGTTTGGGAGATATTATCCGGAAATTAATGCAGGACTTCAATTTGTGCTTTTTAAAGTGGTTTCTCTAAGCTTAAAGAGATCTTTATTGATAGAAATGAAAACCACAATATTGCTGAGATATTTGCAAAACTCCGGACTGCAAGTGTCTGCGGTGGGGAACAAACGCGCTATTGTCCTTTCCGGGGAGTAACGCGTTCACCACCACACCATGAGGATCCTTCGTTTCGCGTGTCTCTCAGCTAGTTCTATCGATCTTTTTGCCATCAGCAATCACCCGTCAACGGGATTGATTTGAGGAACCCAAATCGGCATTGAACTCAGTTAAGATGAGGCTGTAGTTGAATTCACAATGTTTACTTTTTATTTTCTGTCTTCTATAATTTTTATGACAGGGCATTAAGCGAAGATAACCACAGTGGTTATACAAATGCAGTGATTGCTGATGGCAGAAATCGATAGAACTAGTTGAGAGACAGACGAAACGAAGGACCTGCATGGTGTAGTGGTGAACGCGTTACTCCCCGGAAAGGACAATAGCGCCTTCGTTCCCCACCGCACACACCAGCGGTTCGGAATTTTGCAAATATCTCAGCAATTCCCAGGATCGACTTTCTGTTAACCTCGGCACTGGAATGTGAATACATTGTTTTCTTGTTCAGCAATCGCGAGGTTTTTAAACAGCATACATTTACTTCCATAGAAAAACACAATACAATACAACACTAGCTGACGTTTCGGCAGTGTCGCCTTCTTCAGAGCCTGGAAGGGTACATTGGTATATAATCTACTAGGCCAAACGCTTCAATAACAGTTGCAAAAAGAAAAACTATGGTAATTACATGATCAACAGCTTCTCGAAAAACACCGCTTTTTACATGTATAGTCAGTCATTATTGTATTGTTTTTCTATGGAAGTAAATGTTTGCTGTTTAACCACCTCGCTATTGCTGAACAAGAAAAGGACGCATTCATATCTCAGCAATATTGTGGTTGTATTTTGCTTAATACCCTGCCATAAAAACTATAAAAGGCAGAAAGTAAAAAGTAACGGGATGAAGACCGTTAGAATCTACCGATTTCTATCTACAAAGAACAAACATGTTTATTCCGTTTGGACAACATTCGAAATCTGGAGGCAGTGAAATCGTTGGAGGCAGTTTTGGCCACGGATTGGTTGAGACATGGTTAGTCGGTAAGCAAGCGCTGTAAATCCATTAGCACTTTCTTGGCTCCATTTCTCATTAATACTTCGAGCCATTTACGATGAGTTTGAATTCGTGAAAGACGATTTGTCGGAGTTTCTGTTTTGACATCTCAGTTTCTAGCTTATAAGATTTATTAGAGATATAGTTTGTATTACAAGTCAATCATCGACAACAAAAGTGCATAAAATTAGCCCCTCATTGATGTACACTAGTATGTGGGCGGGTGTGGCGCAGTGGTCCCGGCCCTGCAATATAGATGGGAGCGATACCTACTCCCAAGACTCACCGTGCCTTCTATCCCCAGTGTCGACACATTACTACCAGGCTTGTCTTGGAGTATAGCAGCACTGGCTTAATACATCAATAAGCCATCGCGAGTTATTGTAAAGGCCAGATATGCATTCAGTCATCTTCAAACTATGCTTAAGTAAGTCTGATGCATGACGCATCTCTTAGGAATTGATCAACGCAGAAGGCTTTATCCTTTATCCTTTTTTATAATAGTACATCAGTGTTGCTAAGAGATATGCAGAAAAGGTAGGCATTAGGGATCCTGCATTAATCTCCGAAGGTAGTTTCAAACCTTTTCACGATGCAAAAAATGCGTGTGCTTTGTGCTCTGTCTGCAGTCATAAGTTTTCTCGTACAACAGAATTTTACTTTACTTTTGAAAGTTTGAGAGCTTTAGAAGTTCGCAATTTTGTTTTGTTGTTCTACAAAGCTATTTTTAGTTATAATGAGGCTATAGCTTTGCATTTCTCCATGTTTAATTGTACGTTTTCGTTACGTGTGCAACATTATATTTGTTATCTATCCCGCTTGCTAATGAAAGACGTAATATTTAACAGTTCTGACGCAAGAGATCTAATCCTTATCACCTTATTAATCTCTAATGGTTTGAATAACAAATTGACAGCAATGCCATTTGCTTCCAGCGTTTCAACTGAAACTCGTTGTAGTGTTCAGCTTGTCCTTCTAGCATGTAGTATGGTTTGGTTCTTTTATAGCGTCGAAATCCGACATCAACGACCGGTACTCAGTTATCCTCTCAACGTACCGGGATTAAGCAGCAAACAAGGCTGTCACGGCCGACGACTTCACATCGAACGCTATCCATTCCACGACAGTTAGCTCCAGATCCACCTAGAGCCAACCAACAGCACGTAGTAGTAAATACGCGTGTGCCTAGCCCCAAGGCACAGGTACGCGTTGTTTACCTTTTTTTAGTTACCATGAAAACATTTAATGCTTGCTACTTCTATCCACCTGAAATTTATGCTTTGGTTTCTACACCAAGTTTACTAACAGTGTTCTTTATTTGAATGGTTTCTATTCCATTAATCAAACACATTAACTAACACATTAAAGGGCACAGGAGTCCCAACAGTAGGAATAAACGCCATTGTTTCTATGTGGAAGGTCTTAACATGTGGTAGCTGTGATGAGTAGTTTGCTATTCTTTGCTTTCCTTTTTCCCCAAAATATCCCTGTTCTATGAAATACGACGTACTTAATATAATTAACATATAACGGTCGACGTGCATTGAGCACAATGCATGTGGTGCGTGAACAATGGCTGCTACCAACTTTAAACCGACTTATATACCCAATATTAGGCTTGAAATAGAGCCACTGGAATATAAAATTCAATGCATACTGCAAGTTATATGTTCTCTTATTATTATACTAAAATACATTTCAAGTTTTCTGAGGCTGCAAATTGTTTTGTTTACTCATAGGTTTTTCCTCGTTGAGACTAGTGTCGGGAATACCGAGGCGATTAGATGAGAGGAGTTTCGTCCATCATAGCGCGGTTGTGTTGTACGGTATATCATTAGTATTTGCGGGTGTCGTAGTTTCGTTGGAATCTCTGGAAACTTCGTTTTGATTTGCAGATATCTTGTTGTATTGATAAGCTATCTCGAGTTTGCTACAAAATTCATTATTGTGGCTAACATTGTGGCGCATTCACCTTCTTCAGAACCGCAATGGTGCAAGTCGATTGTCCATAATCGTTCATTTTGTCGTGTGGTTTCTGATAGTCTCATGGAGTCGAATCCAGTGGAGTCCAATCAAAAAGTATTTGTCTTCAGTTTTTTGAAAATTTGTGGTTATCGAGATGCGTGGGAAAGAGGAGTCGGTTAGTAATGGCTTCAATACGATTGTGGTGGCTGATGAAATGAAGTCTTGTGGTCCAATTCGGACGTCTTCTGTGACCGAAATCATAATGTCTTAACTTTTATATACCACTTGTTTTTTTTTTCATGACAAGTTACTATTGGCAATACAACCACGAAGATGCTGACATATGACAAAAATTCGGAAGCTCATTGGGCTTCGAATACCCAATTACCGTTACCAGGGGCTCACTGGTATTCACCATACCAACGGAGACACTTGGTTTGCCTTTTTCTGAGCCGCCTCTTTACTCTATCGGCGCTGCCAGCTGTCATCCGTCAATGAGAATGATCTATAGAGTACAAACCGGCATTGTTCCCAGTTAAGCTTAAGCTTCAATCGAAATCACTGTGCTTGACTTTCATTTACGCGGATCGGTGGAAAGGGTAATCTTGGGCTCGAAGCGCAACTTCTGTGGAGTTAGTGTGTCACGTGGCTTACTGTTTGCGAATTACAAAGTATCTTGGGCACAGTCAGAGTAAAAAAGACGTTACAGTTTTTGATCCACTTTTCGAATTTTTGACAATTTTTCAAGTCCTCTTAGCGAATCTATTTATGGACCACCAAACGGTCGCATGTTCTTCTTTAAGTACGTAATTGGCATTGAGAATTATTCAGAAGTTTCGTCCAAGTTCAGCAACTCTCCAGCAAGTGAACGAAACGTTGTCTGATGTCGCAAAGAGTGACTGTAAATGCAGTTGAGAAATGGGTCGATGCGTCGCTTAACTTGCGTTAAAGAAACAGATTACATTGTTCATAGCAAAGATCTATTTGCTCTTCCAGTTATTGATGGTCTTTTTATTGAGCTTTTCTACCTTTCCCTTCTTTTATTTGCAAGTCGTTCTTCACCGAGTAGTTTTCGTTCCTACTGCAGTCTCGAATTTTTTCACTGGATCCACTTCAATTGTGGCAATGATCATCTTTAACTGTTGACTGCGCGGTTACGTCCTTCGTTGACAAAATTCGTATTTCCTCTAAAAAATTCTTAGAACTATGCGAATTGTGGGCTCGGAAATGGTTCCATAACTTACTGCTTTGATGATGTGTAGGAATTTTTGAAAGGAAGGAATAGGAATGATTCTCTCAAATCTCAGAACAGTTAAAGTAAAACAAGCCTGATTAGGGCTATGTGCATGGTGTGGAACTCGTTCCTAACGAAATGTCTCAAAATGCTCACAAAGCATCGACACCACTGCCGTTCAGCGTCGTCATCAGCGTTATATACGATACCATCTATGACGCTACTCTCTCTCTCTCTCTCTTTCTCATTTTTCATAAACGTTCGTACTGACCTGCTTTTCTTCCAAAACAATTACCAAGTACAGCATGCTACGTGCGTTCCAACGGCTGAATGAAAGAACCGTGCAAATGTTTCGGCCTAGTTGTAGGGTAGTCAAGTTCTCCGTTCTATAGATAGGTGTCGCGACTTGTATCGTTATAGAACATCAATCGTTAGTCTTCACGCATCACTTTCTTCATGGTTTCATTTACGAGCGCAGTAACATCAGATATCTGATCGCAACCAGAACTGTGCAGGTACGGCGACTAATATGGGGTCCGTTGGGACACCTCTCTGCGATGGCGAAGCGCTTACAACTGTTCCTCGTGGAGTAATGACAGCTGAGTGCACCACGTAGTACATGCGTAATTGGACCTGAGTGCTTTTCAGCGTATGCTGCAGTTCGCTGTAATGAGCGGAGGAATACTCGTGTTTTGCTATGTTAGAGGGGATCTTGCCTACCACTTTTTACTTTGAGAAATATAGGATAGCACAATATTAGGTATTGGCTCGGATCAAAGCCGCAATGATGAAAGCGAAGGCACTGAAACGTTCTCGAAAGTGAAAGTGATTTTTTATATGATCCGTCTTCACGTCTACTATGCAGATCCCAGCACTTCTTATATTCAATTCGTTTCCTCGCATCCATTGTCCACGTTGGTCTTCCAGCTTTTACGTGTGGCTTCGGTTGCCGCTTGAAGATTTTCATTACATCTTGAGTGTCGTACAATGCTGGTCGAACAATTCTCCCTGGAGTTCTGAGATAGCCGGTCTGGAGCGTTTCCAATTGGATTGCTGAGAGTGATTTTTTCCCAGAGAAGTCCGGTACTAATTTCCTGACCCCGGAGGGATGACAAGCTTGGGTGGCCCGGTGCGGAACCGAACTAGCACGATGTTCGTGATAACGGACATCACTACCACTGTGCTATCCTCTCCTGGAACTGCTGTACTAACCTCTTAATAGCTTGATCATTTAATAAAATGTTTTTTAGTTATTCCGAGGCTGGAGGAAAGTTGATTTTCAGAACAGAAATTTCTGTTAAATGCCTTTTAAACGGTAAATTTTTATCAAAAGTGATAACTGTAGAAGTTTATTAGGGCCTGGGACAAAATAGGTCGAAAAACTGAACTACATTGCAAAGATAGAGTGAGGAATCGTTTCATAACTATATCCTGCCGTTGAAATGTTTAAGGAATATTCTCAGGAAACAATGTCTTTTAATAGTTTCATTTATTCGCAAGTTTGCCCATTGTTTAGTGTGGTCGCATTGAATTTTGCTCCACTTTATATAGCTTTTTGATTATATCTTCTTATTCTTTGTACTAGGAGGACTTCCTATTCCCACTGTTTTCTACCATAATAATCTTTTATGGTTTAAGCTACTTCATAATTTGATATCTGCACCAGCAGAAATCAACGAGCAACCGGATCGAAACAGAAATGTGAATGTCGTAGTAAGTTTGATTTCATTTATCATGTACAAAAATCTTAGTTAATTGTTTTCCATCTTGAGTGGAGTTTTTCAGACTGATAGCAAGAGTTCTCGCCCGACTTCCGGAAGCCAAACACTATCGAAAACACAATCCGACATCCCCGATTTGGCTGCTTTGCGTGAAATTGCTAGGCAACAAGAAGAGGGTACGTTATTTTACCGTACTCAGTTTAGTGAAATAGATGTCGCTCAAACTTCTTGAATTGTCAGTAAGGCTTTCGTGAAATGTAGTGTGTGCTAAAAACAGCACTTATTCTTGTTCTTTTTGTATTTTAAGCTCTACGACAAGCTGTGGAACAACAACAACAACATGGAAATATCGAGCGGAAATATTCTTGGCAAAATGAAGCGAGTTCGGTGGGGCCGGACCCTTTCTTTTTTTCACTTCTTGGTGATCATTAAAAATCTGTTGAAGAGGAGTCCGTACTCTTTGGCTGGTTCCCTTGTTAGCAGTAAATCTGCGGATATGTCTACACTTCACAAAGCGAATGCTTACGTGGTTTCCGTAAGTTTTTTTTCCTGGTTACTACGTTAACTTCGTTGTTAAGTGGTTTTCATAATGATTTCAGCAGATTTTTCTATGTTTAAAATTTAATTTCTGAATTATGCTACATTCGTGCTTGTTTAGATATTATGTTGATGATTTCACCTTGATTACATTGATTGATCATGGGGGGATAGCACAGTGGTAGTGATGTCCGTTATCACGAGCATGGTGCTAGTTCCCTTCCGCTCCGGCCTAACCAAGCCCGTAATCCTTCGGGGTCGGAAATTTGGTACCGGACTTGTCTAGGAAGAAAATCACTCTGCAATCAAATTAGGAGCGCTCCAGCCCGGCTATCTCAGGTCACTCCGGGGAGAAATTCTAGACCAGGATTCTACGACATTCAAGGTGAATTGAAAATCTTCAAGAAGCAAGCAACCGAATCCACGCCTAAAAATTGGAAGATCTTCGTGGACAATGGTTGCGAGGAAACAAACTCTATTTGAGCAGTGCTGGGATCAGCATAGACATGAAGACGGATCAAATGAAATAAATAAAAAAAAAAGATTGATCGACCCTTTTTCGAACTTTTGCAAATTTTACCCAAGATGTATAGAGCCATTGCTGCTATCCTCCCAGACAAGTCTGGTACCAATTTGCCGACCCCAGAATAATGGAGGGTTTGGTGGGCCTAGGATGCGGAAGTTGATCCCACGTGTAGTGCAAGGCACCTCAGACTACTGCGGTCAGGCGCACCTCATCTATATTCTAATTGTAATTGCATGTAAAAGATTGTGATTTAAATAGATAATGCTTCTTCTTCTGCTTAGACTACTTTAGCAACCATTTTATTTTTTTTAGAGAATCCCTGCATCTACACGTGTCCCAAGAAGAAGTGGAATTCCAGCTCCTTCGAAAAGGTTAGTCTTACTTCCCAATTTGACTTTGGTGGTGCATTTTGAACAGATTTGCCACGAAATGTTACCGTGGTTTGTCTTCTGTCTCGAAATTTTATTCGTTTTATTCTTTATTTTAAGAATGTTCTTCTAGAGGTCAATATTTTCAGATTGATGAACCCATGTAGTTATGTTGTGGTGAATGAATATATCATTTTTATTTGTGATATATGCTTGTTCACTAATACACCAGAATCATTGCGGTGTCTTTTCTTCAGCAATTCCGCATGTTGTGCAATATCGCCATTGTTACGACTGGTGTATATTGTGTTTTGTGAGGGTCAAATTTTTAATTTTGAACTTAATTCTAAGTCTTTACCGTCATTTATTTATTTGTCTATTTATTTGTTAGTGAAACAGGTTGACCACTTTGTGCCCGCATAAAAGAGCATCAAAATGGGAAGCTTAACATTCGACAAAGTACTTCGTTAGGTACACAAGCGCGAAGAGAAAATTTTTTACGGCATAGAAGCACAAAGTGATTATTTTGAAGTGGCTGTCAGGTTCCTAGCGGAGGATTCAAATACGAAAACGCTGAAAACTCTTGAGGCGTTTTCTAAAAATTTCAAAAATCCAAAAATGAATCGGGAAGACGAGTGGCTTCCTATAACACGCGTCCTTTCGTCGTTTTTCAAAGTGATTTTTCGATCTGGATTGAGTTATTCGTTTTTTATTTTTGATTTACTTGCTTCATATCATTTTTGTAGATTTGGAATTGCTTCACGCTGTGCTTCGGTCATTCCACAGCCGACCACCAACGATGACGAGTGCTTCTGATGGTTTTATGGTTTCTTACTCGCTTACCGATTTTTTCATCATAACGCTTTGTTCTCATTTCGTTAGAGAAATAGATCTCTAGTCGATTTTTTTCAATTCACTGACCAACTCTGAATCGATGTGATTGTTTTGCTTCGTAAACCACGTCTTTACAATTTTAAGTCTGAGCCGTTAGGAACATGTAAATTGATTTAATTATGTGCAGAATCTCCTTTTCACGGTTAAAGACCTTTTGAGACTGTACTTTTATCCGTGTAGATTAGCCTGGTGTTCTATTTATTGTCTAGAGTGAGCTCGATTTTGAAAGTATTTTTTTCTCACTAATGTTTTGGTCGCTTCTTAGGTCTAATGCCTTGATTATTCTCAACCATTGGTGCCTCATATGAGCTTCAGCTATTCCCCCAATATCTCTGGTCATTTTTTCAAAGAACGCCATTTGGGCCTTATTATTAATTTGTCCACCTTCTTGTAAACAAAGCTATTTTCCATAACTGTTTAGTTGGTCCGATGTGATTAACACTACGAGTATGTTATTGTATTCAAAAATCCGTTGCAGTTTTGCATTTCCAGTGTACAGAGTAGTTTTTGTTCCATAGAGAAAGAACACTATATTCTTTATGGATTATTAAGCACAAATCTCAAGATGTTTGCACTCATAAAATACTCTGATTTCACTAAATATTGCGCTTTATTAGGAGGAGATTTTTATGATGACCAGCTAACAGTGTGAGCTTTTCGGTAGTATGTCCCCCATAATTATTGTGCGTTCTTGTTGCCCCTCATCCTGTGTTCTGTGAAAGGATTTTGATTGTTTTCATTACTGGACCATTTTGAGAAGTAAAGTTTTAGTGATTTGGAGATTTCCGCTGAAAAGTAAAGGAGCGGTAGGAAAATTAGCCGTTGTGCTGAAGAGATCAACTCCAACCGTCACATGACAACAGTCTTACTGTTGGTCGTTGGGTGACTCGAACGGGTGCCTACCATTTCTCCCTGTCCCATGCGGTAGAAGCCCAGTTGGGTATGCTAGCTCTAGGGAGTCATTGAAAACCTTTCCTTTTTTCTAGGGCTTTCGTAAACGACTATAACCATCAGGTGGTCTTCCTGCTGTGCTTTTGGCAAGGCGGAGAATCCAACTCGGTAGTAGCCCTTGTTTATTTTTTTTTTTCGGTAAAATTCGGTTGTACGACACGATTTACGTGTGAGGCCGATCTTCGACATTTGGCGTATAGAATGACGGTTTTAACTTTCGATCGTTGACCGAGAGCTTCGGGTTCCTTGCATCACTTGGATCATGTGGGCTCCTCCCAGCGCTGTCTTTCGACCGCGGGTGCTTAATGCTGAGTGCTCCTGCATACGCAGCAGCAGTTTCTGATGCATACGTTGGGGAAGGGAGAACCATGGAGTCGAAAGAATGGGGTCGGAGTCCAGTGTTTTTTGTTTTCACTACATCTTTGATTGTTTCGGAAGGTCCCCGAGCCGATCGATCCTCCTCCTGCTCAACTCGCAGCTAAATCGTTCATAATGTTGACTTCCTGAATTAAATAGACGTAATTAGAGGGTTCAGAGATATTCGTTTCGTTGTGCATGAACGGGGCACACGAAATCAATCCGTTACTTATGAGCATCATCTTTGTGATATTTAGTCGAAGACCACTCTACAAGCGTCACCAAAGTCGACTAGCAATCGTTGAAGCTCTCTTACCTGTAAGATAATGAAGGTTCTCGTATGCGCAGAAACGTTTCGATGAATATACGTTTGAATCGTGAACAAGTCGTCTAATGACAAGTCATCGTATCGATAAAAAGGAATGAGAAATAAAGCTCTCGGTGTTGATCAATCCCTCAAGGTGGGTGAACGATGCATCCGACTTCACCAACAATCAAAGAGGCGACTGAAGTACATTGGCTTATGTAATGACCTGCAGTGGTTTGTCTACGTATTAAGTCAGTGTTTTCGTCTCTCCAAACCACTCTAAGAGCATTTTGCCGACGCTGTATGAACAGAGGGTTTTGTGAGCCCAGGACGAGGGATCGAACGAACCTCCATATGTGTATTGCATAACCACTGGGGTATAAGTGCCTGTCAGGTTCAAGTATCTAAATCATCATGTTAATTTTTTTACTTACTGTTTATTACATTTTTTCACAGTAAAGTATTGTGTGTGATACAACCACAGTGATGCTGAGATATTTCCAAAAATCCGGACCGAGGGTGTCTGCGGTGGGGAACGGACGCGCTATTACTCTTTCCGGGGACTAACGCGTTCACCACCACACTATACGGGTTATTCGCTTCGTATGCGGGGTTCGCCTATCTCTCAGCTGGTTCTATCGATCAGTGCCATCGGCAATCATCCGTCAACGGGATTGATCTGGGGAGCCCACATCGGCAATGAATCCAGTTAAGCTCTAAGGTCGTGGTCGAAATACAATGCTAACTTTTTTTTACACTGATAATACCCTGCCGTAAAAATTGTAATAAGCAGTAAATATTCAAAAAAGTTAGCATTGTGGTTTCGAATACATCCTTAGCTTAAATGGGTTTATTGCCAATTTGGGTACCCCAAATTGATCCTGTTAACGGGGGATTGCGGATGGCGCTGACCGATGGACTAGTTGACTAGCTGAGAGACAGGCGAAATGAAGGACCCGAATGGTGTGGTGGTGAACGCTTTAGCCCCCGGAAACGATAATAGCGCGTTCTTTCTTCACCGCAGACACCTACGGTCCGAAGTTTTGCAAATATGTCAGCATCATTGTGGTTATCTCAATCATCATTGCACTTATAAAGTCAGTAATCATACTCTCAGCGAATGAATGGTATACTTCTCCAGATCATTCCATACGCTATTTCATTAGTGTCACATTCTTTGATTGGTGCGTTCCTTAACAAAGTCTCTATTCGCTCACAGGCGTGTCAAAGTTGTTCGATGAGTTCTGCTTGCCCATGGAACTTCATAGGTATCACGTTTCCTCCTTTTGATTTTTTTCCTAAGGGTTTTGAGATGTACGTTAAGGGGTTGGGAGTAGCGCAGTGGTCAGTTATGCCGACAACCAAGAAGCAAAGGCGCTAGTCCGACCACCTACCCAACGCTCTCCCAAATCCACTACGGGGTGCCTTATCACGGTTATCTCCAGGACTGTAAGGAGAATCGACTCGACCAGTATTCTATGACATTCATTAAAAGTCGAAGAAGCAGCACAGCGGAAACAACATGCCAAATGTTTGAAGACCATTTTGAACGATGAATGTGAGAAAAACGACTCGAATGCAAGAATTACTGATAT